GACGGTTTCTTCACCGTCTCCCTCTTCTGATTCAAGGATCCCATCACTAGAAGTGATAGGTGCACCTAGAGAAGATCCTCCCTCCTCTTCAGCCAGTGCCACCACCTCAGCCGTCTCTTCCTCGGGCGGCACAACTTATGTGCCTTCTTCCCTATATTCTGGATCAGGTACTGTTCACATCGTCCGAGACATAGTGTCCTTCACAGACACGGAGACGGTCGGATTTGGAGATGAACAAGGGTGATCCAAACACCCAGAGACGGCACCCCTAGTTCTAGACTCAGCCGTACCGGGAGACCGATTGACTATTGAACAAGGTTGTGTCGTGTGTGCTGATGGTGAATCCATTTATTGAATGATATGTACACAAACGGTAAAAGAGAAAGGGGAATAGAGACGGTACCTTAAGTGCTTTTCTAGAAATAATCAAGCGTAGGCCGGCTGTGATAGGTGGGCAAGAAAGGAGGCAATTGTCTGGAAAGTACACGGGCGGTTGTCTGAGAAGTACACAGTCGGTTGTCAGATATTCTCTCTCTAGAAAATTTAACTTTTTTGAAAATGTCAAAAATGAGGGAGGGGTAAAACCTTATTTATAGAGGGGTATATTCAGAGGCATCCCTGTAATTTCCCCTTGTAATACCCCGTATTTTTTAAAGGTATTTTCTAAATTAAAGAGTATTTTAGTCTCGTATTTTGACGTATTTTCTAAATTAATTATTTTCCTAAAGAGTATTTTAGTTTTGGAGCCAAAATAATATTTGAATTTTGGCGCCTAAATCATTTGTCTTATTTTTTTACAAAACTAATTAAATAAAACCATTTTATAGCAATGTTATAAATAGTATTTTTGATTTCTCAAAAATTAAATAATTAAACCAAAATTATATTAATTCGATTAAAATAATTAATTAAATTAATTTCCTAAACTAATTAATTGATATTTTCGAATTTTATGTAATGAAAACCTAATTTGTTTTAATATTTTTCTAAATTAATTATTTTCATGAAATATATATATTTAATTATAAAATATTTTACCTAATCTATGAAATTAGCATAAGTAATCCGAAAATATTAAGTTAATTATTTGCTTAATATTTTCGGCCACCCCTAAATTATTTAATAAATTAAATTAATTTCCTAAACTAATAAAACTAAAATTCTTCATAATATTTTCGGATATTAATAAAGAAAAATCTGATTTTATCTTTCCAATTATTAATTTTCACAAAATAAATTTAATTAAATTATTAATTTTAGGCATAAAAATATTTTACAAAAATCTATGAATTAACATAGAGGGACCGAAATTATTGAGCTATATTGAGCTCAATATTTTCGTTCACTCATAGTTTTTTTTAAAATGATTTTAATTTATTTTATTAAAATAAAAATCCTATAATATCCCTTATTTCTACTCCTAAATCAAAAATTTATTTAATCTTATTCTATACTTGCACTCCAAGCTCAAAACTTACTAAACAAAAATTTCATGACCAAACTAAAATCTTATATTCTTCCATACATTTAATTATTTCCTAAACCCTTAAAACCCTAATTCCCATTATTCTTTGAAATTGCCATAATTTATACCCACCCAAAATTTCTATAAACTCATCACCTAAACACCTATAAATACCCCTCTTCCAAACACCCCAAGACACACATTAAAACCTCAAGAAATCTCTCTCTCCCTCACGGTTTTCCTCTTCTTTTTCCTCCTCGAATTTCCGGCCACCACCATCACCAGCGACCACCTTCTACCGCCGGCGACCACTAGTCACCACCACCAGCAGCCGCCACCTCTCACTGCCGGCCACCCCTTGCTCCTCCTTTGCCTTTGGTTTCCATCTCCATCCTTCAATTTCTCCTTTCTCCTAACCTTGTTTTACATTACTAAGCATTTATAATTGAATATATATTATTTCTTGCATAAATTATAGTATGAAAACATAAAATTATTTATATTATAAAAAAACAGAAAATTATTTTATTAAAATATAATGATACATTACAATAAATTCATGCACATATAGGATAGATTGGTTAAGTTATTGTGCTTATTTGATAGCCTTATATTAATTAAGGTTATAATATTGTGTAGGGTGTTCGTGATTAAGTGAAGTAATTGTGTGAATCGCTCGTATTACGATCAAGGTATGTTATGTGGTTTGATATCTTCGAAAGTTGTCTATGAAATTATATTTTATTATGTTTCTTATGAAATTATGTTTTATGATTATTTAAATTAATGATTTTGGTTAACCAAAAGAGATTTTGAATTGTGATTAAAATTATTAAAAAGGACTGGATTAAAAATGATTTACAGGTTTCTTGATATTCAAGAATAAGGGATTTTTTTTAAAGGTGCTTTTAAGCGAATCAATCGATATGGTTATGAATCCCACTTAGGGAATGGATTAGAGAAGACTATGGACTTTGCATGACCTAGTCTTTCCTCAAGATTGGCCTTTGTTCATAAAGTAAACCACTTGGGGGGTGTGCACACTTAGTGAGGAATTGGTTTTGGAACGTAATCGATTGAGTTTTAAACTTGTCTTGAAAGAATTGCATTGGAAAAGCTCTTACATGAGTATGATGTTGGGAAGATTGTTTTGGAATTATTGGAATTAAACTTAAATGATTTAATTGATGTTTTACTTATCTCACACATAATCCACTTAGCATAATTTGCTAATGCGTGCTTTTGTTTTGGCTTTGCCCTGTTTACCATTCATGGTAAGCAGGTGAACTTTTCAGGTGGAAGTTGATTGATGCATATGGGAGTCCATGGGAATTTCACCTAGCTAAGGTAAAAGTTTGACTTGGTTTTTTTTTAATGTCATAAATAATGAACAGTTTTATTTGAAGTATTATTAATAAAGAATAAAGAATTTCTGCTGCAAAAAGTATTTTGAAGTATAAGCCTTGCGTTATCACGCGGCGGTAATATGCCCAAGTCTATCTCTACGGTATTTATACGTATTTTTCTACATCTTCCATAGAGGGAGATTTGGGGGTGTTACAAAGCAGTATCAGTTTGTCGGGTCTTAAAACAAGATTAAAAGTTGAAACAAATAAATTGGATGGGTAGACTTAAGTTGGGCATATAGGATAGAGTTTCGCATTTTAAAAAAAAAAAAAAAAAAAAAAAAAAAAAAAAAAAACCATTTTCATAAAAACTATTTTCTTCTTTGGAAAGATGATTGAGAAAAGGATGCTCGGGTTCTCGTAATGAGGCCTATAATGGGTACACCTCTCTATCTAGGCAAGGCTCTCCCTGACGTTGTGGGTAACTTACCTGGGAGACGGGGGCTCGACCATTATATATCATGAGTCGATTACATTATTAATTTCGAAATAAAATGAATTGAAATTTCCTAAGTTTCAAAACTATGTGTGCATGTAAGTTAGTATAATATGAAATTAAAGAGGGGTTCAATTAGAAGAAGTCCATGGATAGGACATCTTGGGTATATATGTGGTTCATGCATGTTAAACTTATATGCTTGTGAACATTGACTTGTTTATATGAATACTACTTATTGAATTATTGTTGTCTAAACAGATGTTGGATGATATTAGGAAGAAGTACTTTAACATTCACTATTTAAAAAGTGAGGCAGTCAGTGTCAGCGATTTTGTGACTGGAATAACGGTGCTAGCTCTACACTATTATGAGAAGTACAACCTTGAAGTTTTCAGCCAACCTCCTTGGCTAGTTCTTTTGGCATTAGCCCACTTACCCAAGATTAAAAAGTACTATCCTCTTCTTAAGAAGTATGGGGATGTGATTAAGGATGATGGGCTTTAGAACGAGAGACACCACCATGAGGGGAGATGGTTAGCCACCTTGACCCATTTTAAGAATGACTTACACTACTTGGAGCGTAACTATGAACCTAAGAGGAAGTTTATGAAGCCACCTAAACTTACACCTCACCACAAATTAACCGAGGTTGACCAACTTTGCTACCTAAATGCCCAACTCCCTTTCTCTTACCCAAAGTATGAAAAAGACTTTGACTCTTCTGATGATGAATCCATTCCACCACTTGGAAGGCGTAAGAACTATCCTTCTCCTTCCCATTTTTCAAAGTATAAGGTTCCTATCTCACGTGGCCACCCAAAACCTCGAACCAAAGCCCGAATTCCAAGAAGGCCTAGAGCTCATGACTTTTCATCATCTTCTAGTGTCAACTCTCTACTTTCTCCACAACCCAACAACCCTAAACCTCAAGGAAACTCAAACCCAAAATCAGGCCAAACCCCAAATTACAGTGATTATGTACCAACCTATTTGAAGGAACCCAATGGTAATAAGAAGGCTAACAGTGAAGACCCAGAGTTCGATCTAGTGGAAGAGAAGGGTTCAAATAAATGATCTATGTTATGATTTGTTTCAATAAATTTTATGCATAATAAAATGTACTTCGAATATTAATTAGTAATAATAAAGTATTTTCTTGATTTCTTCTATGTTTATGTGTACGAATAAATTTTAATCTTTTTGTTTTCTTTCTCTTAAATGTGAATCTCAGGAAAAATATGTCTTTTAAGTTAAAGAATAAGAAAACTAGTTCCAATGTGGGCAAGGTCCTTAAGAAACTAACCCATCTTGCTAAAAACATAACCCAAGTAGCAAATTAGGGGAAGGGTTCCGAAAATGGGGACACCTTTGATGAAGTCTTTAAGGGAGTAAATGCAGCCAAACTACCCTTTTTATTAGGAAAAGAGGACCCAGCTAGCCTTGAAAACTGGATCCGAGAGCTCGATAAGTTGTTTGATGCAATCAAATGTCCAGACAATATGAAAGTTAGTAATGGTGTCTACTACCTAAAAGAAGAAGCTGACTTATGGTGGACACAAAATAAAGAGGAATTAATGAAAGACCCTGATTTGGCTGGGAGGATTTTAAGATAGCTTTGAGGAAAAAGTTCTATCCTGGCCATTTGAGAAAACAGAAATGTATGGAGTTCACTAACTTAAGGATAGGGACTATGACTATGAGTGAGTATTATTCTAAGTTCATAGAACTGATGAGGTTTGCACCGGAAGTAGTACCAACGGAGGCTATCAAGGCCCAAAGATTCGAACAAGGGTTAACCTGGAATCTACAAGGAAAATTGGGTGGGGCAACCTTTGAGAGTCTAGATGAGGTGTATGGCCGAGCTGCCCATTTGTATGGGATCAAAGGAAGGGAACTAGGGAGCATATCTGGGGAGAAAAGGAAGTCCAACGATCAACCCCAAGGGAGTGATAAGAGGCCCAAGAACAATGTAAGTTTTGGGAACCATGGAGATAAGAGGGACTTTAAAGGGAATTTTAAGAGAAACCCAAACCAGGGTGATGAGAATAGAGAGAACAGGGATAAAACTAGGAGAAGTTACTTCTGTAAAAGATGTGGGAAGGATCACCCGGGGAAGGATTGTGCAGGTAATAAAGTGACATGTTGATACTGCCAAAAATTGGGACACCGGGAATACGAGTGTTCAGGAAGGAAGCAGACTTGAAGAATGGGAAGGTTCAGGATGGGAGAAATCCCCCAAAACCCTCACAAACTAGTGGACCTGCCCAGAACACTGGAATCAGTAATGGTGGAAATACCCCTAAGGGCCGGATTTTCGTAATGAATAGCCGTGAAGTTGAGACTTCCAATAATGTGGTAATTGGCACTTTTCTTATACGTTCTTTATCTGTGAAAGTTTTATTTGATTCGGGTGCGTCACACTCTTTTATTTCTAGGACAGTAATAGAAAGTCTCCAGTTAGAAAGTCCAGAGTTAGTTTCCTTGGATGTAGCTATTCCAACAGGGGAAGTTAGAGAGTGTTCTAGACTTTTTAGGAATGTACCCCTAACTATTTCAGAAGGTGAGTTTCCATCGGACCTAATTGAATTTGATCTCAAAGATCTTGATGTGATCGTGGGAATGGTCTGGTTGGGAAAGTACAAAGCCCAGATAGATTGTGCAGCGCAGAAAGTCACGCTTTATGGCCCAGCGAAGACCAGAATGCTTTATAGGAAGGAAGGGAAAAGTCAAGGGATAAGAATTATTTCTGCTTCACAACTTCAGAAGTGTCTTAAGAAAGGGTATCCGTTATTTATGTAGCCTCCAAGAGATAAGGGATGAAGGGGAAAAGAGTGATAGAAAATTACCTGTTGTGGAAGAATTTCCCGATGTATTTCCAGATGAAATACCAGACATGCCACCAGAGAGAGACGTGGAATTCACGATTGACTTGGTCCCTGGAATTGGACCTATTTCCAAGGCCCCATACAGGATGGCCCCAGTTGAGATGAAAGAGCTAAAGGCCCAGTTGGAGGATTTGCTTGAAAAAGGATACATTAGACCCAGTTCCTCACCCTAGTGAGCTCCAGTACTGTTTGTGAAGAAAAAGGATGGGAGTTTAAGGTTATGTATTGATTACTGTGAGTTGAATAATGTAACCGTGAAGAACAAATACCCACTGCCCCGGATTGATGATTTGTTTGACTAGTTAAAGGGAACAGGAACATTCTCAAAAATAGATTTGAGGTCGGGTTATCACCAGTTAAGGATTGCAGAGCGAGATATTCCTAAGACTGCTTTCAGGACCCGTTATGGCCATTATGAGTTTACAGTAATGCCGTTTGGGTTGACGAACGCACCAACAGTGTTCATGGGCCTGATGTACCGAATCTTCCGACCCTATCTGGATAAGTTTGTAGTAGTATTTATTGATGACATTCTGGTTTACTCAAACAGTAAGGAGGACCACGAAGACCATTTGAGGAAAGTGTTACAGTTGTTAAGGGAGCATCAGTTATATGCCAAACTTTCTAAGTGTGAATTCTGGTTAGAGAAAGTTGCCCTTTTGGGGCATGTGATTTCTATGGAAGGAGTCTCGGTTGACCCGGCTATGGTGCAAGCTGTACAGGAGTGGCCAATCCCAAGGAATGTGTCAGAGGTAAGGAGTTTCCTAGGATTGACCGGATATTATCGGAGGTTTATAAAGGATTTTTGGATAATAGCAAGACCGATGACCAACTTAATGAAAAAGGAATGTAAGTTCATTTGGTCTCCTGAGTGTGAGGAAGCATTTAAAACCCTGAAAGAAAAATTGACGACAGACCCCGTGTTAGCATTACCTGACGAGAGTAAGTAGTATGAGGTGTATAATGTGTAGGGTTTCGTAGTGACCCGACACTACGCGGAAGGAAACCCACCAAGACCCGCCCCTTAATTAAAGCAATTAACAAGCATGATAAACTTAATCAAACAAGATTAAGAACAAGAATTATACCTTTGACGCGTGCTTCGCTCCCAAAGAGCTCTTACTTCAAAATTCCGAGAAGACGAGATCTCCGACGGATCGTACCCTCGACCCGACCCGAGCGTCCTAAGTCTTGAAGGTTAGTCAAGACCTGGACAAAATAAATATGAGTTTTACGAATCAAAGGTTTACTCTTTCTTAGAGTTGCCTTTTTAATTCCACTCAAGGTTGTTTTCTCAAAATCCCAACCAAGTGGGTATTTATAAAGAATGCGGACTTGTAACCCCTTTTCATGATCAATGTGGGATCATGTGCAATTGCAATAATTTATTTAATTCCAAAATAAATAATTAGGCAAAAGCAATCACAAGCCAACAAGTGGCAAAAGGAGAGAATGGGTTAGGTGAGGACCACATCCCATGAGGGGGACCATTGCCTTGCTCCCCAAGGGAAGCTTGGTGGCTTTGGTCCCCACCTCTCCTTAAACCGCCACTCACAAGGGGGTGCTGGGCTGCTGCCAGCTAGCACGCCAGCTAGCATGTGCCAGCCAGCCCAGACCATATCCCAGCTAGGCAGTGCTGGTTGATGCTTGGCGCTGGTGCGTGCTAGTGCTAGGCGCTGGTGCGTGCTGGCGCTGGCCCCAGCATCCCACGCACACACGCACACACCTCGCGCACCATGCACACCCTCACATATCCAGCATGCGTGCTGCTAGCGAGCCATGCATGCTGGCCCCCTTTGTCTCGCACCATACGCACACACCTCGCAGCATCCCTCGCACATGCACTAGCTACGCACCATGTGCACTAGTCATGCACAGCACGCATCGCACCACGCACCACGCACCAGCCTTGCGCCATTGCTAGCCCAACCATCGAGCTTATGCACGCAAGGCCTAGCATGCGTGCTGGGCGACGCTGCCAGGCATCCTCGCACTAGCACGCATCAGCCAGTGCCAAACACTACCATGCTTGGTGCGAGGCATGCACATACGCACATGCACATGCGCCAGTGCCAAGCACTGCGATGGCTGTTCTTGGTGCGTGTGTGTCCCTGCAGTGTTGCGATGGTGTGCGGTGGTGCCTAAGCATCATGCTAGGGCTGCGATAGCGCGCCTAGGCATGATACTTAGGCTGCGATACTGCCCATGCGCACCCAGGCACCCAGGCTAGCACACTGCTAGCTGCGATGGGCTGCCTGGTGCTTGTGGGGCTTGCGATAGTGCCTAGCACACCATGGTGCGCCTAGCACACACATGGTGCGCCTAGGCTTGCGATAAGCTAGCCTAGCCTAGCTACGGCTACGCTCATACTTGTTGCTTGTGATTTTGCGACGTTCGGTCTCGACGCCCAAGGCTCGATTTTCGACGTTTGTATTCGTAAAACTCTGTCGACTCATTAAATCCTTTCGGATTAATTCGTCGTCTCGGATCGGTGATTCGATTGGGTTCGACCCGAAGGGTTCAGTTAAGATTAAGCTATAATATCAATTGTACCTTGATATTACTGATCGGAAGCGGCCTCCACCTAGGCATTCTGATCACTTGACCTTACTGAAGAATTAGCTCTGTAATAATTTTGAACCCTCTATAGGAAGAATACACTTGTTGGAAGGACACCATTCCTTTCCATCTCCCACTTGTCCTTCCGGACAAGTGTGCATACAGTGTATAGCTCATTTCCTATGTCACTTAATGTTTCTTCGTGAACTATAAGGTAAGATTCTTTGTCATCCTTATTACGTTCAAAAGTTTTTCTCGATCTCCGAGTTCGACTGTCAATAAGCAGATGATTTCTAAAATCCATCAGAGCACGGCCATGCATTTTCACAGTCTCGCTCTTCGAGCGGCCTTGTAAACAACAAAACATTTTCCCTATTGTCAATAGGGGGACAATCCCAGTCTTGTATTGTAAGTTCCTCTTACTAAGAGGACATAGTCTCCTGAGTGTTCCCGTTATAATCCCTAGTTACGGCAGACATTTGGAAACATCAAAGTGCCTAGTACTCAAACAAGAAAACTTCACAGTACTCATGGTCGGAGGAAACAAGTTCCGATAGTCATAATGAGAAATGTACTTATGAAAAAATTTAAATTTTTTTAAAGTACTCTCATAGGTCTTATCCAATATAGTTCCAAACTGTACCTGTGCAAATGATTTATGACCGTCATGTCCTCGCAACACAAGAAACGGTGCTGTAAATAATACTACACACTAATCTATGGCGGTCATCAATCGTCCATCTGTTAGATGACCTCGATTAGGGACAATTTTTGATTTAATATTCAATGTTCACTTAACAGGTGTTTCTTTATCCAAGACATGGTCTTGATACCCTGTTTTGAATGTTTCCGTAAATCGAATGGACTCATTATTTAATTCTAAACCACAATTAAATAGTAATGGAGTGAATGATAATTTTGCACAAAAATTAATTACTCCATTAATGAATGGTTTTAAGACAGTGTCTTACATTAAATATCCTATTTAATTAAAACACATGTACTGGGAATTTCAAAGCCAGTCTCCAAAATGCTTGATTCCCATTGCCTCAATGTGCTTGTTGTGTTTCACTTGAGGCAGCGGTTTAGTCAAAGGATCGACTACATTATCATCCGTGCCAATCTTACAAATTCTTATTTCACCTTCGGATTTCCATTCCCTTATCATGTGAAATCGCCTTTGCACGTGTTTGACCTTCTGGTGTTCTCTCGGCTCCCTAGCCTGAGCGATAGCTCCATTGTTATCACAATAGAGGTCTATCAGCCCCTTGATTGAGGGTAAAACACCAAGTTCTCTAATGAACTTGCGAATCCAAACAGCTTCCTTGGCAGCTTCTGAAGCAGCCAAGTACTCGGCTTCAGTTGTAGAGTCTGCAGTGGTGCTCTGCTTGGCACTTTTCCAGCTAAACGCTCCTCCATTCAGACAGAATATGTACCCCGACTGTGACTTGAAGTCGTCTCTGTCAGTCTGGAAGCTAGCGTCGGTGTAACCTTCAACAACCAGTTCTTTGTGGCCTCCATACACCAGGAATTTATCCTTGTTCCTTTTCAGGTACTTAAGGATGTTCTTGGCCGCAGTCCAATGCGCCTCTCCTAGGTTCGATTGGTATCGACTCGTTGTACTCAGGGCATACGATACATCTGTCCTTGTACATATCATGGCATACATGATTGATCCGATTAGCTAAGCATATGGGGTCTAATTCATTCTTTCTCGCTCAACAGGTGTCTTTTGGCATGGGACATGGGTAAATGCCCTCTTTTGGCATTTTCCATGTTGAATCGAGCCAGTACCTTATCAATGTAAGTACTCTGGCTTAATCCAATCATCCTCTTAGATCTATCCCTGTAGATCTTGATGCCCAATATGTACTGTGCCTTTCCTAAGTCCTTCATTGAAAAGCACTTTCCCAACCAGCCCTTTACGAACTCCAACAATTTTGTGCTGTTTCCAATGAGCAGTATGTCATCGACATACAGGACTAGGAATGCAATATCACTCCCACTGACCTTCTTGTATACACAAGACTCATCTGGATTCTTGATAAAACCAAACTTGCTAATGGCTTCATCAAATCGCAGATTCCAACTTCTGCTGGCTTGCTTTAGTCCATAAATGGACTTCTTCAGCTTGCAAACCTTTCCAGCATTGCCTGGATCGCCAAAACCTTCTGGCTGTGTCATATACACAGTTTCTTCCAAAATTCCATTAAGGAAGGTGGTTTTGACATCCATTTTCCATATTTCGTAATCGTAATATGCAGCAATCGCTAGGATGATCCGGATGGATTTTAGCATTGCAACTGGTGAAAAAGTTTCGTCATAGTCAATCCCGTGGACTTGTCTATAACCTTTTGCCACTAGTCTAGCTTTGTATATTGATGCATTTCCATCCTTGTCTGTCTTCACTTTGAAGATCCATTTGCAACCAATGGGTGTATAACCCTCGGGCAAATTCACCAAGTCCCAGACTTGATTTTCAGACATGGAGTCCATCTCGGATTTCATGGCCTCTTGCCATTTTGCAGAGTCGGGGCTCGTCATAGCTTGCTTGTATGTCGCCGGCTCATCACCATTCATGATTAGGATGTCCTGATCGTCGGTTAAGACGATACCGAGGTATCTGTCTGGTTGAGATCTTTGCCGTTGCGACCTAAGTAGGGTAATCGGTTGAGCATTTACATTGTCTGTTTGATTCTGACCAATCTTCTTAGATGCTTCCAAAGTATCTAGATTATCAGTTTTGTCAGGTTGACATTGTTGCTCGTCCTCTCGAACTTCGTCGAGTTCGATTTTCCTCACACTTGTCATTTTGGAAAGGTGATCCTTCTCCAAAAAGACACCATCACGAGCAACAAAAACTTTGTTCTCGGATTTATTGTAGAAGTAATACCCTTTGGTTTCTTTTGGATATCCCACAAAGAAACACTTATCCGATTTGGGGTGAAGTTTGTCCGAAATTAATCGCTTGACATATGCTTCGCATCCCCAAATCTTGAGAAAAGACAACCTAGGAGGTTTCTTAGTCCATAATTCATATGGAGTCTTTTCAACAGCTTTTGACGGAGCTCTATTCAGTGTTAGTGCTGCAGTTTGTAGCGCATGTCCCCAGAAAGAGATAGGGAGTTCACTAAGACCCATCATTGATCGAACCATGTCTAACAAGGTTTGATTCCTCCGTTCGGACACTCCGTTCCATTGAGGAGTTCCGGGAGGTGTCAACTCTGAAAGAATGCCATTTTCTTTCAAGTGATCGTCGAATTCATGGCTCAAATATTCGCCACCTTGATCCGATCGAAGTGCTTTAATTTTCTTGCCAAGTTGATTTTCAACTTGTTTCTGAAATTCTTTGAACTTCTCAAAGGATTCAGATTTATTCGACATTAAGTAG